GACCTCCCAAAACACTTCTCCTCCACTTCCTTGGGTCGGGAAGGACCACAGGCTATGTCTGGAGGGATTCCTGGCAGAGGTAGAAGCAATGCAAAGAGAAGGAGGTTTCCACTGAACTGACCACTCTATCGGGTTACTCTAAGACACCTACAGCTACTAATTCTGGACACATGAAGTTGAAAGGAATAAGGATAAGTCCCCGCCCTCCCCCCAAGTCCCTAAGGCAGAATCCAGGCAGGCCGGTTACGGGAGGGCCGCTCTTCCCGGTGACGGGCCAGCGTCGCGCCCGCTCGGCTCGGACTCGGGGCTGAACCCTCACACCAGAAGAGAACGGGGAAGGGCTCGGGGTACGCACACAACTACTGTCAACAACTTCCAGGGATGCATTTCTCATCTACTTCACAAAAGGGCAATACAGAAAAGGAGCTGAATGTCCCGAGCTGGCCGCGGTCCCGAGGGCGGTGCTGCCGCACGCGCTGACGGCAGCGGCTGGGCACGGCCACCTCGCCCTCTCCTGACGCTTTCCCGGGCGCTCAGTGGCCAGCTCCTTGGTACTTGAACACGCTTTAAATGGCAGGGTTGGGGGTTTTTATACCCGACTAAATCGCGGCAGAAAAACTCATTGATTTTAAAAACTCGGCAAATTCCAAATCAATTTTAGGTGACAATTAACATTTTAACAGTTGCTTTTAGCAATTCTCAAGTTCTCCCCTCATTTATGAGTTCTGATGTCAGAGCTGTGAGGTGGCCAGACATAAAAATGTCTAATGATGCTTCTGGATCAGTTTGTTTGCTACACTATTTAAGGTTTTTGCCTGTTTCACCAAATCCTTTTCACTGTGTAAGTAAGTCAGAATGAGGATGATGAGAAAATGGAAAAAATAAAAACAGCAAGAGAAAAAGAACACATGAATTAGCTGAGTAGATATCATGAAACATTTTCAAACACCAACTTCTTACAAAGAAAACCACCCCGCTGTTTACTGAGACCTGATCCCAGTATAAACCCTAAACTGAGAGCACCCAAGGGAGCACAATGCTCTACTCATTAACCAAGTCCCAGAGGTGCTGCTCCCACTGCTCCCCTCAGGCAGCTGTGTCTAGCACAGCACCAGGACTCTCCCCTGGCCCATGCTGGATCCATGGGATACAACACTAAAGGACACACCAGTGGATCGTGGTTCAAGTTTCCTGTCTTACCTTTGTTCCAGCTGTTTGATGGTGGCAGCCATCTGATTTGTTTTTTCTTCCAAGCGGCTGTTTAACTCGCTCTTCTGTTTCACTCCCATGTCTGAACTCTGGGAAAAGGAGCAGTGGGCATTTGTATAAGGAGCAGTAAATCCCAAATAAACCCCCATAAATCATTTGGCTTATGAAACAACAGGGCAGAATGTAAAGAGGCAGGAAAAAGTACTGGAAAAGGAAACGCCAGGTCAGTATTGGGAGGCCAAATGTCTTGCTGCAGAGGTGCAGGCTCCATCCGGTCCCTGCAACAGGGCAATGCCACCATCCCTGCAGTTTGCTGGCTATGGAAAATCTATGATGCAGTGCCTGCCAGTATTCCCTATTTTAATTTAATTCAGCTGCTTTGAACACAGCTGTTGGCTGAAGGAGAGCAAAAGCAACTCTTTACCAGTGTCAGGTTGGTTTTTGGATCTATTCTGAGTGCTGCTGTTTGGAGAGTCTTCTGGTGTCACCACACCAGAGTTACAGCTGGGGCCCTCCACACCAGACTGTGCTGGAACATGAGCTCTCACTGCTCTCTGCATATCACAAAACCACACAAGGTACCTTCCCGTCTCACACACAAATTTCTGGACCATGATGGATTTTTCTTCAGAAGAAATTGCATTCATCTTTACCCTCCACCACGTTCCAGTGTTCTCGCAGCAGGACAGGAGTGTGCTGCACAGCCTGTGACCCTTCCACACCCAGCACCTTTCCAACAGGCAGGAGGAATAAATGCACAGCAGCTTCCACTTCCATCTGGAATTCCCTGCATTTCCTTAGCTCCCTACCTGCAGCTTGAAAGACAGTTCATGCTTTAGAGCCCTGAGATCATCCAGCTGCTGTCTGAGTGCCACCAGCGCATCCTGCTTCTCACAGACATCCTTCTCCAGCATCTTCATGGCCAGCTCCATCTCCTGCCGCATCCCAATCTGCGCCTCCAGCTCCTTCTCCACATCCTGGAACACAAGGAGCTCTCAGCATTTCCAGGAGTTCCCCTCATGACCCAGGGGTAACCACCCTTCCCTCCTGCGCACGAGTCTGCAGCACTGCCGCAATCTCAGAGTCACGCACCCGCCACGTGCCTTAAGGAGAAGAACTCCCCAGTTCTCAGGATCAGAGCCAGGTGTGCAGTGTGGCTAGCAGAGAGTCAGGGAATTCTACATGGGCCTGTCTTTGGGATGGAGGGGTCTAAGGAAAGATTCTATTTCCTAAAGCAGATTTTATGTCCTTAATACTTTTGGGTCAGGCATTTTTCTCCCCAGGCATGGATCAAACAAGAGCTCAGCAGGGCAGCAAACCCTTTGCAGCTTTGGGGGGTGAGCCCCGAGCCCCCCCAGCACTCACCAGGCGC